CCAGCTTCATCTGTATAATTTTATCTTTGTCCCAGCCTCTGGGCCTCTGCACTTGCTGTTGCCTGTCTCTGAAACTCTGTCCATTCCACGATAACCATCCTAGAATGGAAGCTCCATCAGAATGGGGGGGTCTGTATGTATTGATCACTACATATTCCAAGCACTTTAAACAAGGCTTGGCACACAGTAGGTGCTCAATGAATACTCATGAGTTCATAGTCTGTATAGATGAATGGAATACTCATTGGATACATGTATAAATCCGTGCATATCAGCCACTTCTCTTCACTCAGATCTCAGCTCAAATCTCTCCTCCTGGAAGTCTCTCTCTATGACATTGCCACATTATAATTTTTGTAACCCTTGTCATTATCCTTCCAAAAATGTATTTCCATCTCTTGCTTATTGCCTGGCTCTTTTTGCAACAATAGAAACTCCAAGAAAGCAAAGTTCTCAACTGCCTTGTGTGTCTCACATGTGGCAAGTTCTGAACGAACATGTACCTCATTAGCCACCCCTTTCCCTAAAACAGATACACCCAATGGACTAGCCAGCCACCATCACCCACACCTTTGTGTCTAGTGGCCAATGACCAACCAGTAGTAATGGTGATGCTCAGAGCATCTATACATACAAAATACGAGGATGGTTGTCTCTCCATATAACTCCATGTGTCATTTTTCATAATAACCCCACACCCCACAACCTAGTCTAACTGTGTACATTGTGGACGACTTCTGAAAGTGCTGGGTCCTCTCATTGTGAAGCTTCATCACTGATTAATTCTTTAATTAAAGTTTTAATATTTATACTTGTGCCTTGAGGCACTATTTTACATAATGGAGGAAGACGATGGGAAGAGTCTCGTGGCTTCTTTAAGAAATCATCTACATGCTTGAGGTTTCGGCACATCAATACAGGTGGATGTGAGTGCGATTGAGGAAAACTCATGATCTGAGGAAAGTCAGCCGGTGTTAATTTGTGGATCATGCTTACTGCGTAACCCCCATGCTGAGTGGCAAAGGCAGGACAAGCTGCCCTGTGTCCTTCAGAGCAAATGTACTCAGATTTAAACAGTCTCCTTACATGCCACTGGGACATCACTGCGTCCCCAAAGATTTTTTTGTGTCAAATACAATTTCCCTCTTGGAATGGGTTCATTACTCCACACATCAGCTTAAAAGATGCAAACAAAAATGGTCTAATTTTTGGAAAGGTGAAATGTCAGACATATATAAAGGGCAGACCCAATTTTCTGGGTTTAAAAAAAAAGATCTGGAAGGACTTTGATAAAATATAATGGCTCGGTATGGCTTGAGTTGAAAGGGCTAAACCAATTTTTTTAAAAGTCATCAGAGATGTGAAGACATATAGGAGGCCTGTGCTCAAGTCTTAGAGGAGAAGGTTAAAAAAAAAAAAAAGCATCAATTATCATGAAGAAAAAATAGGGCAGAGTGGGTCAATTCCAGGAGGACAGACCTGCTCAGACCCATGCCTCGGCTTGGTTTCTGAGTGGAAAACTCCAAGGCCAGAGGGTGATGTTACAGACAGTGTGTTCTGAGAACGAGATTTACCAAGCCATTACTGCAACTTTATACCTGTCGATTAGCAAGTCCCCATTTCCCCCTTACCCCAGACTCATGCAATCACTCTATGTTCTCTGTTTTTATGAGACTGTTTTAGATAACTTGTGAAAATGGAGTCTTTCATGCAGTAAATAAAGATGAGTAAGTTCTGGAGACGTGCTGTATAAAGCTGTGCCTGTTGTTAACAATATTGTGGGGTCCACTTAAAAATCTGTTTGAGAGGGTAGATCTCATGTTCTGTTCTTACCACATTAAAATTAAAAAAAACTTGATCGAGTTGCTTATTCATACATTCAGTAATTTTTTAATGACCAATGAATGACCAGGGTTGTATTTATACAGTTAAATAATGTCACACAATTTCATATTTATATATGGTAATTGGAATGTGTGAACCACAGGATGCTTGATAGTTAAGGCCACTTCTAATATTCTTTACTGCTTGTGTTTTCAAAATATTATAGGAGAAATTTTTAATATTAATAAATAAATAACATTTACCAAGGCAATACTTTCATCCCAGGAAATCAAGGAGATGAAGTCCTTTCAGCAGATCAGAAGAAAGGCCTAACTGCCACAAAAACTTAATACAGAGCTTGTTGAGACAGTAAGTCAAATACTTCCAACCTATGCCCCAGCCAGTGGGCAGCTCGTCCCTAAACCTCCTTAGAACATGCAGACAGTAAAATAAGAGAGGTCAGGCCAGCTTCAGCTTGGAAGGCTTGAGGCTTGTGTTGAGCAAACTCCTTTTATGATTCACTCCCCTTTTGTTTTCATCTACCACCTAAAAAGGAATTGTATGTGTATAAGGCAAGCTACCTGACTGTTCTATCCTACTTGATGTCACAGGCTCAAAATTTACAGCAATCTATCTGAAAAAAAGAAAGAAGGAAAGAAAACTAACATTATTCTGGCACTTAACATGTGCCAGATCATGTTCTAAGTGTTTATTACTTTATTTAATTCTCTCCAACTCACTCTGAGTTCAGAACTACTACTGAAACCCTCATTTTAACAGGTGAACAAACAGAAACACAGAGAGGTTAAGTAACTTACCCAAGGTCACACAGCTGGCAGCTAACAAGACCAAGAGCCCTGTGCCCTTCTCAGCCACAAAGCTCTATCTCTGGGCCCTTAAGTTACCTTCCTCTATTGTAAGGGATGATACTCTTTTCTTCCTACCCCAATTCAACCCTAAGCTAACTCAGGGGAAACCCAGGGGACTCTTCTAAATCCAGGGCCTTTCAATGAGCTCAAAAAAAGAAAAAGGTTTGGAGTGAACCCCGTCGTTTGCCAGTGAGGTCAATTCCAGCACCGAGTTTACCCTTCATCAGCCCCAGGTCTGGAGAAAAAAGATTGTGGCAAAAAATAAATCTGCCGGTGGCTGGAGCCAGGCCCTCTGTGGTCACTTAAAATTGAAAGGCTACAGGTCTTATCTTTTTTTTTTTTTTTCCTTTACTTTTGTAACAAAGATAAATGGTAAATGGAAGGTAGATGAACTAGGACGTGGTGGGGGACGGTCAGGGAGGGGAGATATCTCAGGATGTGGGAGTCCTAAACTTCTGCTGACAAGGACAGGCCTAGCTGCACATTGGGTTTAAAAATAGAAATAAACAATCATTATTATTACAAAGGAAAACTCAAGTTATGATACATTATTATGTTTCAGCTCAAACAAAGCTATTCCACGACACCTCCCTCACTTCTTTCCAAGTTCAACTGAAAAGACCCACACCCACAGCTGGGTGCCAGTTTCCCGGACTGCCTGCTGAGGATTTCCAAGCTCAGGAGCAGCCCCGCCCCAGACGCTCCAGGGCAGCCAGGTGCACCCTGGCTCTGGCCCACACAGGAGCGATGAGGCCCCCATTTTGGCAGCAAAGAATGGAATTCGCGGCTCCAGGGCAGGGCGAAATTGGGGTCTTCCTCAATTTCATTTCCTCCCTTCTCTCGCGGACAGCTCCCGGGCGACGCGTGACATCTATCTGGTCCCTGACGCTGGCGCCTCAGAGGCTCCAGGAGCATCCCGTCCAGGTGGCCTCCCGAGCGGGGAGATGGGAGCGGCGCCTCGCTAGCCCAGCCCTCGCCTCGATCCCTGGGCAATCGGGAGATTGGAGCGGACAAGGATCGACCCCCGGCCTGTGCTCCGACGCAGCGCCCAGATCTGCTACCCGCTGGGTTTCCTCGGGGCGAAAGTGTTCTAACAGCAGGAGGCGCGGCAGGAGTTTTCAACTCCCGAGTTTCCAGGCTGGCCCCCTCCCCAGGGGTCGAACGGGGCATCTTGGGGCTTTGAGCCTGATGCCAATAAACACAGCCACTCTCCCTCCAGCTCAGTGGGCCTCCTTTCCCCGCCTCCCACAAGGGGTTCGGTGCTTCTAAACGCCCTTCCCCCTCCCCCGCCATCCCCTTCTTCCCCTCCCCCCCGGGCTACCTCTTCCCGGAGACCTCGCGAAGGGCGGCAGAGGAGGCAGCGACCCGGGGACGCGCCCAGCGCACGCTTTCAGCTGGCCAGTGAGACTAACCAAAGTGCGCAGGCAGGTTTTTGCCGCCCCCCGCACCTGGGACTCACTCCCAGGAGGACGGACGAGGTAGCCTGGGCGCTTTGGAGGGGCGAGGAAGGATGTGCGTCGCGCGGGGGGGCTCACGGTCTCAGCCCCCTAGGGGGACATTCCATGGGATTGCTCCACGCACCCCGGAAAAGTTCCCGTCCAGCGCCCAGACTCACGCTCGAAGGAGGCCAGAACTCGGGGACCTAGCTTTTCCCTCCATGGGACCCCTTGGGCCAGGTCAGGGGATGCGCAAAGGCGGTGACTCTACCTGTACTTACCTAGAACTCCTGGCGATCCCGGCTGTGGTCGCCTTCTCCTCGGCCCCAGATCCCCGAGTCCCCTGCGCTCTGTGCACCCCCAGCCACACTCACCATGAGCTGGAGGCGGCGAAGGGGGATGCTGGGTTCTCCCACACTGTCCACAACTTCGCGGGCAGGTCAGCCCCGCCCTGGCGCCCCAGCCTGGGCACGGCGAGGGTCGGGACTGCCCGGGGCCCTGATGGCCACTGGAAGGGGGTCTGGAGAGCAAGGCTTCTCAATCCCGGGGCGCACGGTCCTCTCCTCCTCGCTCTGCCTGGCTTGGAGGCTCAGAGTTCTCCGGACGACGGGGCGGGACGCACGGCTGTCCCCCTCCAGATGCGGTGTGCCCTGCCCGCTCCTTCCTTCTCGGGCCCGGAGGCGTACGCGTGGGTCCGTCCGCCGCTGCCGCCGATCTCCGGGCTGGCAGAGCGCCCCCGCCCCACCGCGGTGCAGCCGGGGGCTGGGGCGAAGGGGGAGGGATTCCCCTCCGCGAGTTCGGGTTTCCCCACCCTGCACGGACCCCGGGCTGTGTCCGCCGCTGCGCCGCTGCGAGAACCACTTCAGGGCAGCGCAGCCAGTGCCACCGGCTCCAGCTGGAGGAGGAGGCGGCGGCGGCGGCGCGGCTCGCACGGGGACTGGAAAGGAGGTGACCTTCAAACCCCGCGCTCGGGGAGACCGGGAGGGGGGCTGGGGTGATGGGGGGAAGCGGTGTGCACCCGTTTAACCCGCGAGAGCGCTTGCAAGCTGGTGGGAGAGGATGGAGAGGAGATCTTCCCACGAAAATACAGATTAGAAAATAAACAAAGGAGAGCGAGAGAGCGCGCGAGGAAATGTGTGCATGTGTGTGTGCGTGTGTGTGCGCGCGCGACAGGCTGCGAGCAGCCCCGGCTGCGGAGCCAAAAATAATCCGGTGCGCGAGGGAGCGTCCCCTCCCCCTTCCCCTCGCCGCCGCCGCCGCCGCCGCGGTCACGCGTGCAGCCCTGGATTCCAGCGGGCGGCGACGGCCCGACCACCCGGTGCCTCCGTCGACTCGCCTAGAGGAAAAGGAGTGAAAGTTGGATGCAGGGGCGATGCGCCCAGATCTTTCGCCTGCGCAAGTCCTCGTCGTCCCGAAGAGAGCCAGCTCATTGAGCACGAGGGCCCTCCCCCATCCAGACCCCCAATCGGAGCAGACAAATCCCCTGGAGAAACGCTCAGGGGTGTGGGGGTTGTTGGGCGGGGGGTGCGGGGGTGGGCTCAGTTCCTTGCCCCAATCCACTTCTGCTCTGAGGAAGTTTTCTGGCAAATCTTCTAATCTAGCAGCCGAGCAGAGATCGAACCCTATCCAAGACGCAAAAAAGTTAGCCAGGCCGAACTCGACGCAGGGCGCCAGCACCACTGGCCCGGGCCGCTCCCACCCACCGCAGCTGGGCCTCTCGCGTCCTGCCCTCTCACTAGCCACCTAATCCTGCACGGGGCGCCGACTCTAGAGAGGGTCTAGAGTGTCCTCTTAGCAGTTTCCTTACAGCCAGAAGCCCTGTGACTCCTTAATATGTACTAACACTTAATAAGCACTTAACTTTTCGCCAGATGCTGTTTTAGCACATTACATAAAGCCTTCTCCACAACTAGATGAAGTAGGTCCTGTAGATTTATCCATTTCACAGGTGCTTAGAGAGGTTAAAGCAGCATTTTCCCTTTCTTGAGTCCCACCCTGGAGTCCCTGAGCAAGAAACTCTACTCATTTTTATCTTTCTTTTCTTTATTCTTTCTTTCTTTCTTTATTCTTTCTTTCTTTCTTTCTTTCTTTCTTTCTTTCTTTCTTTCTTTCTTTCTTTCTTTCTTTCTTTCTTTCTTTCTTTCTTTCTTTCTTTCTTTCTTTCTTTCTTTCTTTCTTTCTTTCTTTCTTTCTTTCTTTCTTTCTTTCTTTCTTTCTTTCTTTCTTTCTTTCTTTCTTTCTTTCTTTCTTTCTTTCTTTCTTTCTTTCTTTCTTTCTTTCTTTCTTTCTTTCTTTCTTTCTTTCTTTCTTTCTTTCTTTCTTTCTTTCTTTCTTTCTTTCTTTCTTTCTTTCTTTCTTTCTTTCTTTCTTTCTTTCTTTCTTTCTTTCTTTCTTTCTTTCTTTCTTTCTTTCTTTCTTTCTTTCTTTCTTTCTTTCTTTCTTTCTTTCTTTCTTTCTTTCTTTCTTTCTTTCTTTCTTTCTTTCTTTCTTTCTTTCTTTCTTTCTTTCTTTCTTTCTTTCTTTCTTTCTTTCTTTCTTTCTTTCTTTCTTTCTTTCTTTCTTTCTTTCTTTCTTTCTTTCTTTCTTTCTTTCTTTCTTTCTTTCTTTCTTTCTTTCTTTCTTT